ACTAACTGATTTAAGGGGATGTTTTCTTCCCAAGCTACCCCACACATCTAATTGCCTCTACTCCTCAAGACAACAATTAGAACAGACATGCAGCTATTACCGAATGGCATCATGCAGAAGAGTTAACGCTCAGATGCTACTGGATCGCTAACAACAACAACAACATTCCCATGATCTGACTACAAAAGTGCGGGCAGCTGGAGGGTGGCTCTCGCAGGTACTACTTCTTTACTTTTCTCTTCCTCTGTTCTTTCTATCTGCCTGTCTGTCTTTCTGTCTTACTTTTCCTACACTAAAAGTCGAATGACCATTATTGTGTTGATGTGCTTTTTTAGTTTAGTTTTAGAAGAGGTTTTACGGCGCTCGCAACTGCATAAAGTCATATGAGCGCCAGAAGATTAGAGGTGTTACAAGAGAGTAACAAACACAAAAAGAAGAAGGGGAGATAAGGACGATAGATGTTCGATAGGTGATGTGCTTTTCTTTAATCAAACAAATCAAGACCACAAAAATAGCTCCAGAGAAGTTTTCCCTGAATAACATAAAGGCAACATTTACAATACATGTGATTCCTTCTAGAGTGAAGATAGTTTTTTCTTTTCCATTAGAAAATATAACTCATATACATATATATATATATATATATATATATTATATATATATATATATATATATATATATATATATATATATATATATAATATGTTGATTTTACAAACATAGTTTTAATGGTGACCTTCACCCAGTGCCTTTTTTTTCTTCAGTTTTTAGTTACCTATTTAAACAGTAACTTAACAAAAATGTGAGTTTCTGTTAGGTTGGCAAATTTTTTGCTGGAACAGCCCTACAATAGGCCTACGCATGCATATAATTATAATAGATCTCCATGATGTCCGAAAACCTTCGAGGAAATAAAGATGAAAACTTCCTTGATCATCTGAGAACCTTCTCTAAAAAAATAATAAAATAAAAGATCAAAGCTTCCTTGGTTACCTGAAATCCTTGACCTTCGTCCTGATCATTGACTCAACAACCGTCATGTTATCAGAGTCGAGAGCTGCCACAAAGAGCTTTGTGAACTCATTCACATCGTCGCCGGCACTGCCAAACTCCATGACTCCTCTCTATAGAGGGCAAAGGAAAAATAAAAAGGCCTACTTAATTTTCAATGGAATACTTAAAGGTCAAATTCAACAGGCTACCTTCCAGTAAACAGCAACATGGATGAAATGAACAATAATTGTGTCACAACAAAGTGGAATCACGAGCTTGTTTATTGGTATCACTCTTTAAAGCTAAATTCGTTTGCCTTGATTTTCATTCCCATCTGTCCTGAATAGAATAATAATAATAATAATAATAATAATAATAATAATAATAATAAAATTGCTTTTATATAGCGCATATCCATGTTCAAGAGCATGCTCTATGCGCTTTACAACCATTATTACCCTAGCAGACCCTCTAAGAACACTCAGAAACATTCTCAGCTTCCGAGGAAGCATACAGTGCAAGCTGCGGATTTCACGCGCTCCACTATCAAACTGACAAGATCTTTCACTGTCTATAGCCGGGTACCCATTTCCACCTGGGTGAAGTGAGGAAAATTTGTGCAAAGTACCTTTCCCAAGGACACAACGTCGGGCCCCTGACGGGATTCGAACCCACGACCTTACGGTTGCAAGTCCGAGAGCCTAACCACTAGGCCACCTACGCCACATGTAAGGCCTAGATGTTGAGCTATAGGAATATTTTCTAAAATCTAAATGGTAATTAAAGGATGTGGAGGTTACTTCGTTTCAGTTTCAGAGGTAAAATTAGTGAGAAAATGGATGCAAAAGTTTGGTAACTTCCATAGCTTGAGAGTCTTTGGAAATTGAGAATGTGTACATTTGTGTGCCTTTCATCAAATTATTTAATTAGTAAAATCTTGAAAGAAATGTATTTATAAATGGACGCATAAAAGGTGTTGAAAAGAGATTATAAAAGTTGCCAAACCGGCAGAAAATTATGCCAGTTTCTTCAACTTAACTTATTTTGATAAAAGCGCCCGATTTCACCACGATGCCTCACAATTTTATTCTTGAAATTACATTTTTAAAACTCTAAAATTAATTTATTATCAACATGCCCATTTAGTTGCTGGTCTGCAGTGTACAGAGCCAGCTGCGCTAGTCTCATGCCAACCAAAAACACACCAACAACAGTTTTAAATGATCCACAGATCTAGAATCTTCTTGTTTACATAAGATCCAGGCTTTGGACTTGATGTTCACCATGGCCTATCCGCAGTGGATTCCACGACTGATTTTACTTTATATATTGTATAATTATGATTATAGGCTAATCTATCTATTTTTGATTGCTGCCTCACACTAACCATATAACTTGATTTAAGAATAAAAGCCATTTGAAAAGCAAAGACACTTGAAAGAATAGAATGCATTCTTATCATTGGCATTGGTATTTCATCGTGATCCATTTAAGTTTGGGGAGGGGCTGATGCTCCACAGCATCGTGTTCGTCACTGTTTGAGTCCAAATAGTCACAGTCAGGGTTGTCAGATTCGAGCCAAATCCCAGAAATTTGGCTCTTTCGGACCGGGTCTGGCCCAGAGAATTTCATTTGGCTCTCTTTCCCTTTTTTGGCTGCAAACTCCAAATGTTCAAGAAGAAAGGGAAAGAAGAGGCAAGAAAAAAAGGAAAAAAATGAAAGTGAAGAAAAGAGCTTGTATTGCTTAAAATTGTTAACACGATTTACGCTCTCTCGTCCATTTGGTCTGAATAATTTACAACGGTAACCCTTCTACCGTCGTGCAAGAGCATTTATTGTCTTGTGTTTGTGTCTCGTTACGTTTGCACATTCTCTCTGTTCCTTGAACCATAATTTATGGTGTGCAGGCAGAGAGGCCTGCCATCGCAAGTGTGTAAACAACGAATGGTCCAGCCAGTGGTCGGTCCCACATCCCACTCATAACATCGGTCCCACATCCCGCTCAGTAACGTCGGTCCCACATCCCGCTCAGTAACGTCGGTAGTGAGCCTTTTTTTTTTTACTTACAGGAAAGGCGAAAAATGTGTTTACATAAATTATTATTCATTCCCAACCACATGCGGTAAGCCACCAAGGGCCTAGGTGATCTTATCGGCCTGCGAGAGGTCAGGGGGGAGTTCTCTTCTCTCACCTCATGCCCACACCAGGGTGGGAGCTATTCTCATCCGGGGGGGGGGGGGGAGGGGGGGGTGAGAATAGCAAGACATGGGTAATGAGAATAAAGGTCCAGTGGCCTTTTTTTTTAACCCAGGGGGGGCTTCTGAAACCCCCCATTCTAGATCTAGAAATCTAGATCTACTGTAATATAGCTCGATTTTTCAGAAAATCAAATATTTCTAAAACTATTAATTTGCCATGGTATTGAAGTTTGTGTTAGTTCAGCACATCAATTTTAGAACATGGACTGGTAGTTCTGAGACGGGAGGGAAAGTAAAAGAATACCCTGGCCTAGTTAATAAGAGTACTTTAGATCTAGACTAGATCTAATCTAGTCTTATAATTATGAGGGACATCAGAAGGTAAGGATTACCTATATTGAGTGATCAGTCAAGTGCAGTCACAGCTCACAAAGTCAAAGTATCTAGATCTAGAATCTAGATCTAGATCTAGAAGTAGAAGTAGAAGGGAATCTTCTAAGTCTAAACTAAATAAACCTCCTTATTATCACCTCTATAAATACACACTCTTGATTTCCTTTGTCCAGTGAAGGTGGTTGATTTCCAAGTTCAGCCACACTAAGACCAAAGAAGAAAAACTAAAATGTAAGGCCTACACTGCTACACAAAGTCAAAGCTTTAGACTTTAGACGAGACGAGGCTGATTTGAATTCATTTTCATATTTTCTCGTTCACATTAACTATCAACACAGACTTCAACTAGAGTCTAGGGCCTAAGCATATTTAGAGCCACCACCTCGATTGGTTAGTTATTGGGTCAAACGCAAGGATGCGTGAAATGCTAAACTACGCACTCAATAAATAACCCACATTCAAGCAGTAGATGTAGGCCTCGCCACACGCTATATCGCACAGTGCCTAGTCTTGAAGTATGTTTACAAACAGAACGTCATCGCCTGGGATAAAGAAAGACTTCTTTGGGTTCTCGCGTCTCAGCTGTTTCCGGTATAGTTTTGACAAGTTGTTGATATTCCCAGACTATTGGGAATAGCCGTATGAACCTGGGTAGCTTCGATATTCCCAAATTGATCAGATAAGCTCAGATAATTTGTTTTAATATTCACAAGCTTATCGAGTCGATTGAAAACCAGCAGGCACAACATGTACTTCCAATTACTTCAGAAAAGAGAAGGTGTTGGGAAAAGACAGCATGGGGCCTAATGAAAACAAAATAACAAAGATCTATATTTAAATACAAATTGTTCGGATCTCTTTTGGACTAGGCAGGATACATACGATTTTGAATGAACACTAAAGTCCGCAATAAAGGCCTTATTCAGCATTA